AAACGAATATTTCTGGGTATATTTTGTGGATATTAGGGGATGTCAGGAAAGTTGACGAATGTGCGGACTGAGTACACAGAACTCCAACGAGTAGGGAAATGAGCCTGTGGACAGGAGGGAAGTAGATTATGGAAGAATCCTCATTTTCAGCATTACTTGAGTGAATTGGCCTTCACGTTGGCAGCTTTGAAATTTAATGCCATCCACCTGAAAACAAACAGAGGAGACAGTCGCAGAAGCCAAGTACAAAATAACAGCGGTTCCCGTAATAGCCTCTATGGGAAATGATGGAACCGCAAATGCAATGCTGCCCACGTGATGGTAGAACAGGAAAGGCTACCGTAGCCGATTTTGCACGATTTTGTCAGTTAGTTGCAGATAAGTCAAATCCAAATCTTTCTCGCGTGGTGTTCAATGCGTAACCTGTCTCCTGGACATCTCAGGTCGGGTGTGGCCACATTGTGAGAGACTCAATGTCGTCTGCTTTTGGTGTCGTAGAAGTGACAGGAATAGCGACCACCAGCAAATGCCATTTAGCCGTTCTAGCAACTAGGAGTGACATCCACACCTTGTATTCTCACATTCTCAAAGTCAGTCATTTCAAATCGGTGATGCTGAAGTACGTTTAGTATATGCAAGAACGCGGGACTAGTTCTAAGGAACCGTAGAAGGCTGTTCCTATTCAAGACACCTTCCTAATTCAAGCATTTCACTACTGAGCAGCTCATTGTCCTCGAATCTCATCACTAGTGTCTGTTGTTGTTTGGACTGTCCCACGCAAGAAATGAGCCGTAACTGGAAATAGGATGTCACACTCGACATTCACCACTGCACGAAGGACTACCGACTTGTTGCACTTCATACATAAGACATTTTAAACTAGTTTAATTAACTAAAGTCCTTCTAGCAAAATGAATAGCTGTTGTGCTAAATCCAAATGTCTTCTTAAATGACATTTTATCATGTGCAAAATTGGCCCGGAAACGATTCCCTTAGGCAAAAGTTAAAAGTTGAATTTGAAATCTTCCCTACTGCAGAAGGTCAAAATTGGTGCAGTGGAGGGAATGATCAAGCTCTCCATCAACCACAATTTTTTGAACAAGACCTCACAAATTTCCACTCAAACAGGAGAGAATGGCAGGTTGGTTCATGAGCTCTCTGACATTTGTCTTCCGCATTTACCAGACTCATGATCCTTGGCCTGGTACATTCGACGCCTCAGTGAGAGGTCCACCTTCAAGCATGCCAAGGGCCAGCATGCTATCTGCTGAAAGGAGTGCTGGCAGCCCCATGAACAACTCCTTTTCGAAAGGAGATCTTTATGCAAATTCTATCCTTTGCCGCGTATTCTCCTCATTTTCTTTGCTGACCCATCAGGCGGAACTTCTTATTAATACTTAACCAGGAGCGAGGATCTTGACACATATGCATTTTCTCATTCCCTAATCGGTGATTCCTCCACTCACTTTCTACTTATTCGCTTGCTTGTTTTACGTGGTAGAATTTTGTCTGCTCGTGCAGCATGAGTGTTGCAGAAGTTGCTCAGATCAAGGTGGTATTTGGGGTTTATTACAAACAAAATGAATATCGTTATAAGGAACATAGATATTTTCTCCTTGATATAGCCAACTGCGTCATTCCTTTTCGCATTTCCTCGTGCTTTTTCGTCAACAGCGATAACATGTCGCAATCCGAAGCGCCCCTTTCAAGGATCTCACTAGGCGGGTGCTTTTGGAGGTTAGTAATGGACCCTTCCAGAAAGACACGGGACACTATGGTGATGACATTGGTAAGCAAACCTGACAATGGATAAAAGAGAGATGGAGACACCTCGGACCTGGTAGTTTCCGCTTTCCCCAAAACGTACATCATTTAATGGAAGTGGTAACCCTAGCCAACTTCCATCCTTTTGGGAAGGAAGTAACGATATTACTGGTGACTACTTGACCGGATATAATATTTAGGATTCATTCTTCAGTACCAATTTCTAACTTGTAATTTAAAATCGGCTTGAGTTCACTTAGGTAAAGTCGATTTTCTGGCTTTGAATAAGTTAGGTAAACCACCTCTAAATAATCATTAATTTCATCTTTAGGTTTTGTAAATCCTGCAGCAACATGCCTCCACCTTTCACAATTCATATATCTATTCATGTCAAATTCTACGACCATCTTACATCATTTCAGTCCGTCTTTCAGATGACAATGCAAAGGATAAATAAATGCATGCAAGAT